AGGGTATACAGCACACTCTGTGTGGGTACGACTTTTGTCCGTATTGTTGAAGCTACGTCACACCGTACAGCAGCGAACCCGTTATAACTTGCTACTCGCTGCAGCCACTACTACACGCAATTCGATGGCCGCCCATACATTATTGCTGGAGTAACGTCATCGAAGTACCTACTCTAGGCAAATACACGGATGTCGCTTCGTATATCATCTCATTTCAATCTACAAAGGATCCGCGATTCCATTATTAAAGGAAGTAGTTGAAGGAAGGGTGTTCCTGAATCAGACCGCATCGAGAACGAGTGAGTTCCACCGACTGATAGACGGGTTCCTGTTCATTACCGTAGACGTCCACCGCGAACTGATCAACAGTCCGGCCGCCGATTGTCACAATAAACACATAGCCAATTCCAACAACAATTTCAATACAACAAAATCAACGTGAGTTTAAAATTGAAATTGTTATTAAATAAAAGCATATCTGTGACTCAAAGAGTACTTGTTAAAAGAAAAGAAAATATTGTAAAATTTAAATAAATTAATTGTTTATTACGTGAGATTAAGGCTAGATGCACACTTGCGTATTTTTAACGTGCGGTGCCGCTGCGGCGCCGCACGTGCGTTTAGAAATACTAATAATAGCATGAAACGGTGCACACGACGTTGCGGGGACGTACGTGCGTGTGTGCAGTTTTTACCGTACGTTCCCGCCACGCCGCAAGTTCACCGGACACGCGTTATCAACCGCAACTCCGGCAAACAGTACTTTGTCATCAATCGTGTGATACCCACTTGCGTTTTTCACACGCCATAAAATTGATAAAAATTGTGAAAAAAATCACAAAAATGGCAACAAAAACCATTCAATTTAATATTGATGAGGTAGATATGGAGCTGTTTATCAGTGAAGTTAAACTTCATCCCGAAATATGGAACATAGCTGACAATAATTACCACGATCGAACTAAAAAAAGAGGAGCGTGGATTGAAATTTGTAGAGTGTTTTGTGAAGGATTCGACGAAAAGGATGAACGGGATAAAAATGATATATGTAAGTACTTTTATGTAATTCGTTCTTTATTTTATAATATTTGTTTTATTTAATTTTTAAGAATATTATTAATAATATAGTATTATTTTTATAATCTATATAATATTTTTAATAATATTATTTGAATACATTATTTAATTATACAATAGAAAATATAAAGACAATAGGTACGTAAGTATCTAGTTTACATATAATTTGTTTGCCAAGGCACACTGCCGATATCTGTAACAAAATAATCTGCCAAATTGTTTCTTGCATTGATTGACTGATTAGTAGCTCTCGGAGTAGGTTCTGATGTGTCTTGTTCGATTTCAATGAATCCTTCTACACTCACATTGTTTCTTGAATGTTAAATCCATCTCTGGACCGTACGAAATTGTGCAGAACACAAGTTTTTACTAGAAGTATGCATAAATCTAAATTTGCATTGATTGGTTTATGGAATATTTTTCATTTATTTGATAATATGCCAAATGCACTTTCAACATATCTTCGAGCATGGGACAGTCTGTAGTTGAAAATCCTTTTTTTATCAGACAAAACTTTACCGCTATAAGGTCGCATTATTTTGGGTGAAAGAGAAAATGCCTCATCTCCGATAAACGTGAAGGGCATTTTTGGATTTTCAGTTCCGGGGAGAGATTGACTTCCTGGGATATTCAGTTGATTATTTTGGAGCTTCATATTAAAAGGACTATTTTCAAATATTTTACTGTCAGATTCTTTACCAAAAGCCCCTACATCAATATAAATGAATTTGTAATTCGCGTCTACAATTGCTAGCAACACAATTGAAAAGAAATTTTTGTAATTGTAGAATAGTGACCCACTGTTTTTTGGTTTTCTAATTCGTACGTGCTTTCCATCTATCGCGCCTAAGCAATTCGGAAAATGGGCATATTTTTTAAAACCTCGAGCAATATCTTTCCAGCGTTCTTGTGTAAAATCAGGAAAGGTCTCCGCGCTTAAACATTCCCAAATTGCATTGCATACTTTTCTTAAAATCTTACCGATAGTCGTGTGTCCAATTTTGTACGAAAAGTGTAAATCTACCTGATCACAACCGCTGCCTAAATACCTGTAACCAAAGAAAAAACATACATTTATAAAAAAATTGAGAACTTCACACCATGGACCAACTATTTAGGGCGGAAATTTGGAAAGGTTGTATTTAGGGTGATACGGTAAAAAATAAATTAAATTAAAAAAATAAATAAAATTAAAAAAAATAATAAAATTAAAAAAAAAATAAAATAAAAAAATAAAATAAAATAAAATATATGAAATTATAATAAATTATAATTATAATATGAAATTTTAATAAAATAAAAAAACACACATCATTGTAAAATCAATACATTCATCGCTCCACTCAGAATCTAAAATAGTATAAAACAATTACTGTATTTTCAGGTACCTCTTGTATAAAAAAATGGCGAAATGTCAAGGACAACTTTAAAAAAAGTTTAAACAAAACAAAATCTGGACAGGCAGCTGGATCAGGAAGAAAATACATTTATGCCCGACAATTATCGTTCTTACAAACTGCAGGTGCTACTACGGAAACACAATCCAGCTTTGGTAACGACGAAATAGAGGAAGAGCTAACCCAGCCAGAGGAACCGGAACAACCTCCTCCCTACAACCTGCAGCGTTCTACGAACAAACGCAAATTGGATATAGAGACCTCCTTAATTGATTTTATGAACACTCCAATTCCTACTCCAACTGCTCCAGTCATTCAAGAACTTAATCCAGACCGTTCATTATTCGAAAGTATTCTACCATCTATATCTGATTTTACCGAAGACCAGAAACTAGACTTTCGCTGTGAAGTACTCAATATTATTAAACGTATGAGAAAACCTCCACAGAGTATACCTCAATATCATACATCTGTACCTTTTACTGAAACATCGGCTATATCCAAACAATATGCACAACTCCCAAATGTTCAACAACATCCTTCATATACACGGTTGCCACAAGTTCGCCCTTCTGAAAATATTATATATTCAAGACAATTTGTTCCACCTTCAATCATTTCTCTCACCCCGTCTACATACAGTGACGAAAATAGTATGGATTTATTCAGTAATGAAACTTTATAAATAATATCATAAAATAACTTACATAATTAAAATGTTGTATTATTATTTGCACCTGTTAAATTTTAATAAATAATAATCTTTTTCGAGTTAAAATTGAATATTTATTACAATCATAGAATTATTATTCAATTGTTCAGGTAATTCATTTTCAAAACAGTAGAATGATATGCTGCATAAAATGCACTTACCTTAAAGTCACAGCTAGCATTTCCAATGGAGGTATGCAGAGTCACATGTATCTTGAGACTTAATCATGTCAGTTATTTTGTCTGCAAGTTCATCAAACGATTGAACACTCATACGAAAGTAGTTAATAAACTTATCTGGATTTTCTCGTAAACTCGAAAACAATGTAATAAAGCCACCTCTAGCTAGCCTATCATCGATGTAAGGATGTACCCAGTAACGTCTTTTTTTTTTTAAAACAAATTTTTTGTATACAAAGTACGCGAAAATCGCACGTTTTTTTGATACACATCCATCGCCAACAAAAAAACAAATACGACTGATGGCATTGTTACGTACCTTGGTGACCACGTTTGTATACAGCCTCGCAACGGTACCGCACGTTAACAACGGACATGTGCATGAGTTTCTGCGGCCACGCAGCGGTGTTTAATTAACGCAAGTGTGCATCTAGCCTACAAGCACCATTGAAAATATATCTACTACTACGTTGCGTATTCTTACACATACCTAATCACTCATAAAGGTAACTTAATGCAATAATAGAAACATGTTGTATAGGAACTTTTTTTATAATTATCGAATATGTACATTTATTTTGTTTGGATATAAATTAATATTAGGACTTGGAGTATAATATAGTTATATGTATACACATTATACATAAATATAAACGAGTACGTAAATATATACACAACATAATACTCTACAATAATACCAACAATGGAAGGAGTCCGACAGGTATTATACATGTGTAGTTGTTAATTTATATCATAGGTAGGTATATAAGTACACAACAGTCATTATGAACGAAATATTTATTATTTTGTTTTACCAAATTCTAAGCGAGTTAGTGAAATGTTCACTACACGCAGGACAACGTTTTGGTTCTAAAAAATTCACACAATCACCACATAAAATCTTAAGGCAACATGAAATGAATGCGAGTGCTCTGTCAGCCTCTATGCATATAATACATTTTGAATCCTGATTGTCTAAGGTAGGAAGGACAATTTCGACTGGTTCAAATGGAATATTCTCCAATTCCAACTGTCTGCTCCAAGCATCAATTGCATCTGGATCTCTGTCTTCAGGAATGATAAAATCTTCCGCATTAACTGAAAAATACAATAAAAAGTATAAATAAACACTGGAATTTTCTTCAGTAAATTGAAAAATTTAACAAAAATAGTATATTTATTTTACTATTACACATTTGGAGGATAGTTTGCGCATTGATGCGGTTTTCAATCACCGTAAATGTTCGCCCTAAGTTAAGCACCCGTGATATAGCGGACGAGAACAATTTTTATCTTATCTGTTTTTACGATATGCATTGCTAGACATAGGCTGTTTAATTGTTCGTGGGCAATCGTGGCCATTAAAAACCTGCGTCCACTCACAAACTATACGAGCGTCTCACTGCAGCTTGGCAAATTGGCTGCTGCGCGCGCAGCTCCCCTTATCATACCATTATCACCGTTACTTTCAAATATGATAATCTGTATAATTTAATAATATTAATTACCTAACCTAACCTATACCTACTATAAGTAAATATGTACTTGTAATCAAATATTAAAAATTTGATAACTCAGACGGAGACAGCAAATGTCTGTGTAGAGTTCTCTTAACCTTCAGTAGGTCGCGCGGTTTATGAGTACCTATTCCGTCGCGCGGGGTAAAAATTTTCCTTGAGTAAACATAATATACTTTTCTAACATTTATTTATTTGAAATTAAATTTTTATTGTATATAACAAAAAAAGAATACGAAATATAATTAATACTTTTAATTTTACATTTTTTTTTTTTTTACTTATTAGACAAATAAATGATAGGTATAAATATTTTAAACTAATTTAAGAATTATTAACATTATTATTTTTTACATCTCACTGAAACACTCTGGACATACTTCTACTAAGTGGTCTCTGCATATAAGTTTTGCACAGTTAGTGCATACTTTTGTAGTTTTTCTGTCACGTTGGCGGTCACAAAATTGACATCTTCCTGACGCTCTTACCCGTTGCTCACCTACTTGTAATGTTGGTTTGTAACCATAAATATTTAGTCGCGTTTTAATATTTTTTGGAAGTGAAAGTATTGTTGCACGATATTGTAACTGTTCATCCATTAGCTGTTTTGCTTATATTTTTAAAAATTGAAGACGAGTGTATTTAGCTTGACTATTTTCGTGATATATAACTTGAGCATTTACCGCACCGATATTCAAAATTGAATAAAATACTGTAAGTGGCCATCTATTACTCCGTCTTGCTACTGTATAGTTTTCTGTCATCCTGTCCATATTATCAACTGCACCTTTTGTGGCATTATAAAATGTTATAATTTCTGGTTTTTTTGCTAAGCCTGAACTTTCATCTATAGTTTTACTACTATGCATTGTTGACAAAACTAGTACAATTTTATTTTTTTTCGGCATATATGATACTATTGACATGTTGTTCTGAAATCCGAAGTAAGAAGAACAAAGTTCCCTATTTTTAGTAACAAGAAATTCTTTTGGAATCTCTCTTTTATTTTTCTTTATTGTAGCTACTAATGTAAGATTATGATTTTTCAAAAGTTCTTCAGCTAATGATACACTCGCAAACCAATTATCTGCCGTTATATTTCTACCAGTTTTAGATATTGGAGACACTAACCGTTTTACTACTTCACTTGCAGAATTGTCGATTGAAAATGGGCCATCTGGCTGCTTGCCTGCATAAATTTCTAAATTACTAGTATAATATGTAACATTGTCACACAACGCGAAAATTTTAATGCCGTACTTGGCTGGCTTGTTAGGGATGTACTAATATATTCTATATATGTACAAGAGAAACGGTGACATATTTTGCTTGATGGTGGAGCGGATAATGGGCCAGAAGGAAGAGATGGAGAGGCAGAGACAATGGATTAGCAGATAGTTAAGTGTATTAGTGTGGGCCGAAGTGCCAAATAGGGTGGTTAGAAGCCCCCAATTATGTACTACGTTGTTTAATATTGTATTTTATGTATAATGTATTGTCCATTTATTGTCATCAATAAACGATGCGGCTAGGGAGGCAGCAATGGGGAAACCTACTTCCCTCCCTGGTTGCGATTCAACCTCGAAAAAAAAAAAAAAAAAAAAAAAAAGGGATGTACTGCCGAAATGAGCATCGACCACGAAATGATTGTAGCTTTTCATCAACACATGCGTATTCTGATATTGAATATGATTTCTTACAGTTACTGACAAAATTTTCAAAAATCCACCGAATATGTGTAATCTTATCTATTTCTTTTCTTTGAGTACGCCCACGAATATCATCAAACCTTATACATCGTAATAAAAATCGAAATCGTCTTTCTGACATTACGCAAGCAAATAGATCTGCTCCGGTTCCATCACTTTGCCACAAATCTTCCGAACTTCTATGAGAACATTTCATAGCCCCTACCAAAGAAAAAAAAAATGTAAAATAAGATAACTACGGAATAATAAAGCAATTTGTATGTATATTTTTATATTTCAGTATAATATATTTATATCTCATTTTTCCGAATGGTGGTATGTATACAACAATACAACGACGAATCGTAAGATTATTGAAAATATCAATTATTATTTTTATCATTCTATTTTTACCGTTTACATAAATCTAATAATAATATATTATATGGCAGGCCAAAAATAATGTTACTCACCCGTCATGTATAAAATTCCAATCAATGCTTTTATTTCTTTGTAGTCGGTATCCGATGCATCACGTTCGCGACTATAACTTGCACGTGCCTTTGATATATATATATTGGTGCAATTTACTATTGTATCTAACATGGGTTTTGTAAAAAACACTTGCCAGCATTCAAGAATATTTGTTTTGTTTCTAATAGTTGGAGAAACACCTGATTTTTCCGTAACATAATTTTTTTTAGACGTGCGAACTCTCTGGTTTGGCGCACGTTTATTCCACCTAGTTCCATCTTTCCCAATATAGTATGGCAACATTCTCATGCTAAGTGGTAACTCATCATCTGATTCATGGTAATTATCATCGTTTATAATCGCATTATCTACGAAATTATATTCTGCCTGTTCTGAGTTTTCTTCATCAGAAATATCGGATTGTTCAGTATCAGTGTTATGATCTTTTTGTAACATTTCAACATTATCCTCTTCTTCGTCACTTGAGTTCCCTCCCCAAATATCTTCATTATCATCGAAATCGTCAATGAACGCTTCAATTCGTCGACGTTCTAATTCATCCATTTCCAAATATAATATAATAGTACGGAAAAAAAAATACTTATTTCGTCGCACGGGGTAAAAATTTTCCAAACTCAAACACACACACTTCGAACGCTGGTATTGAACGTACTAACTGATAAAACGTTAAATAAACTTAATATTATCTACTAATGACTTATAAATAGAAGCTAGATAAAATCCCAACACTGTCATACCAACTTAAATAATATTAAAACATAGTTTAAAATTAGTGGGGTAATAAATTACCCCGCGCGACCTACTGAAGGTTAAGAAAAAACTTAATTAATTTGTTTATGTTTGTTTTAGAAGCAATCCAATCAACATATTCAGATCGTTCAGTGAAAGATATTGAGCTAGTAGCAAGTGTTTGGCTCACTAAGGCTGGTGAAAGATTTAAATCTTGTACCTAACAATATTATGTATCAATTTATAACAACTTTAACATTAAAAAATAAGAATTGCTTTAAAGTTTAAATTAAATTAAATGTATGAGTACCTATGTTTCAAAGTTTATTTTTTTTTTATTTTTCAGTTAGACAGACTGAAAATAGCATTTAAATGCGAGATTTAAAAATAAGTAATCCATATAAAAGAAATATATCCAAATATTTTAAATAAATAAAATAAAATATAATATAAATACATAGGTAATCTATAATCTAAAATAAATTAATATATTCACAACCAATGGATATATGTTTTATAATTAATAGAATATCATATTCATCATCAAATAGTATTTTGGTAATTTATACGAACAATAATGAGTTATTCATATATTATTTAATTTTAATTACCCATAGAATATTGTATGAATAATTTAAATTACTACATAAATATTCCTATAAGATTATTTATAGTTGGTCCAATAAGACTAGATATTCATGGACTATCTATAGGTGACTAATTTTGCCATTTTTTCACGTTATATGCATATTCATAGAAGATCTTTATGTGAATGAAGAATATTTTTTACACATTACATATATTCTTAATAAATATTCTATTATTATCCTACTATCATCCATGTGTTACTGGGTATATCTAGTGCATAGTAAAAAAAATTAAAATCTTGGGTCAACTCACGTGGTTGTAGCTCCACACTTTCAAAAACATTTGTGACAGAACTATTGTCAACATCAACAGATATTTGTTCAAACTCACTATTTGATGATGATTGATGACCTGTACTTGGTTCATTCGTTACATTATTTTGAATATTTTTGTTGAGGTCATTTTATTTATTTATTTTTTTTTAAATTTAACATGAAATCCGCACTTCTTTTTAACATGTTAATATTATTGAAATTAAATACAGGGATACACTTAATTGAAATCATTTTTTTTGAAATTGATATAATATGTAAAGTGGCTGATAAATAAATTAAAGTCGGTAAACAGTAAATGGTCAAGACCGTAAAAAACTATGACAATACGAAAAAATATTTAAGAAACAAACATGACGCGATGGATGATGTTCATTACTGATAGCTCAATCACGAGTGATTGTTATACATAGATAATATATAGAGGATAGGCTATTCCAATACTGTAGACCCATGGGTTTGCGTGCCGGAAGAGCCCCAGACTAACATTGGTTATGGTAACCTAGTTATCAATGGTTACAATGTAGGTATTACATTATCCTGTTATCTTGTCAATGTATTTGAATTAGGAGTGCGAAATGACAAAATTTGAATTATTAAACATTTTACTGAGTAGTGAGTACACTATTCAATTTTATTAACTTTTGTAGCAGGTACAGTACAATTTATAATAAATGGTATGATCGCAAAAGGTATTGTCATTAAATTATTACTACTATATATAATACAGTATGTTACGACACGAACCGATCGTCAAAAAACTGTGAACATACATTTTTGTTTAAATCATGGTAAGTAATAGGTACAATATTGTAAATATATTTTAAATAGTAAAATTCATAATAACAATTTACATGCATATTTATATTAACATTTTATATACATTATTATATTATTTAATTTAGATTATATGGTATATTAGGTAACTTATGGTAACTAGTAAAAAGTAGAGTCAAATATAAATTATATAAAACCTTATATCGTTAATCAATACTTATGGCTTATGGGGGTCATTTCTGTCATTGTATTGTATAATTACTGGCCATAGTAGTTTATTTATTATTACTCATATGAAATGTACTATTTTTTTCAACTTTTTCTTTATTGGAAGTTTGTCATTCATTTTCCTGGTTTCATGAAATAACCTTATTTGAATGTATTTCTGTATGATATTATCAATTAGTATAATGTTATGTCAGCTTATTTGATTACAACTTAAATTTTCAAATAAATTATATTCAGTTAGAATGTGTTTAACTTGATTCATCATTAATTGAAATTTTTGTCTCGTTTTTAATATACATGAGGTGTGATTTTGTCTGAATATATCTTCTGTAACCTTATACATTATGACTAAATCTGTGTTTGGTTTTTTTAGATGACCTCTATCTTTGATAATTGCTAAACTATTGCAATGGTAGTTGCCCTGTAACTTCATTATACAAGAATCATAATTCAATTTTCTTTGAAGACTTCGGAGCACAAACCCTGCAATGTATGAACTAACATCTTTAACATATAGAGTCATTGTATTTAAATTGGTTGACTTTGCATTATCTATGTTTGTAATGTTTTCATTTAATTGATTATCTTCATTTATGATTTCCACAGCTGAAGGGTTTTTCATAGTATTGTCCAGAGTTTGACAATTACCGTACATGGAACTACGTATTTGGTTGTGAACTAATAGTCTTTTGTATGCTGTTTGGAACTGATGACAAGTTGGATTGTCACTATAACCACATAATTTGAATATTCAAATAATTTACAATTAAAAAAGGCAAGAAATTTGAATATTCAAAATGACAATTTAAAACATAGATAATATATATTATCTATGATTTAAAAAGGCACGAAATTTAAATGATTGATAAACGAAAAGTGATAAGTGATAACCGTTGAACCACATTGGACCATCATACTACCACCCTGGTTTCTTGGGTGCTCTCTGGACACGCGAATATTTGTTGAATGGCCTATCCTCTATATATTATCTATGTTGTTATAACTTCTCATGATATCTATAACTTTAGTACATACCTACTTAGTATAGATAGTACTACTAAAGATAAAACTATAACTAGATCTACTAAATAGTCCGAAAATTGAGTTATTTTATCATCTAAAGGCTGTATGGCTGCTAGTTTTATTGAAAACATATCTCCGACTTCCGCTGGGTTTTAAAATGATAGGCCAAATATGCACGTTAAGTATTCTCTAATCGTATCGTCATTACAGTAATTCGAAGCTAATCCAAGTGACTGAATTTTACGCCACCAAGCTTGGCCAAGATGAAATCGACATCCTCTTATAGAAATATTTGGCCATATGCATGTTATAGAATTGCGTATGGCTTTTTCAAAATAAATATAAATTATGCACAAACGTATTTACGTATTTAATACATGAAACATACCAGTATAATATGTTTGTTCACTTTTATCTTTTAACAAAAAAAAAGCAAGAGGTATGTAATAGTTATTTATTAATCCATGAATAGTAAATAATTGACTGAAATATTTGGTGCAATATTGAAATGTTCCATCTACATAAAACGTATCGATTTTTACTAGGAATTCCAAATTCGTTTTAGTAGAAAATAAAACAATTCCGCTTTCTATATCATTGTGTAATAAACATTGTTCATTTTCGTAAATAATATCTATCTCATCTAAAACATGAACTTAATTTCTCGTTTTAGGTAAGTTTAAATATCAAACATAACAAAAGTCATAAATTACGATTTTGAAATTACAAACTTATTTTGATACATCATACATGGTATGTTTGAAAATGTTTAGAACCACTTGTATATTTATTACCTCGCTATTAGAAGGTTACTAGTACTAGACCTTTTTCGTTTACGATACAATTTAGGGTACGTCGGGAGGCAATTCGTATAAAAATTATGGACCTTTCTGACTTCGGGAGGCAACTAGTGTGTGCCCGTTTCTTCTCCTAATAAAAATAAAATAAGGGCAACAATTATCTAAAAGATTGACGAGTTTGACAAAAATGCTATTCGGCAAAAAATTCATGGGTTCTGTTTTCGAAAAGAAATACCAACTTTGCAAAAAAATCTTACTGCCGTCAATGACGATCCTAGCTTACCAAATTTGAAACGTACATCTTTACGTTTAATTTTAAAACATTTAAGTTTCGTATATACCAAGAAAACTCGTAACAGTGCACTGACTGAACGAAGCGAATTAGTCTGTTGGCGACAAAGGTATTTGGAAAAAATTTAATTTTATCGCAGCCAAGGTCATCCAATTTACTACCTTGATGAGACTTGGGTAAACGCTGGGGAAACGACTTCAAAATCGTGGGTCGATACAACAATAAAATCACATAAAGACGCATTTTTAAAAGGGCTAACTACTGGACAAAAAAATCTGTCTGGTAAAGGCAAACGATTAATTGTTGTCCATATAGGATCGTCTGATGGTTTCGTCGCTGGTGGTCTCTTGGCTTTTGAATCTAAAAGAAATACAAGTGATTACCACGACGAAATTAATGGCAACTCATTTTATGACTGGTTTAGTAGCATTTTAACACTACTAAAAGAAAATGCAGTAGTTGTAATGGATAATACGCCGTACCATTCGGTTAAAAAAGACACGTTTCCCCAATATTTTTTTATTTTTTTCCCCGAAAAGGGAAAATATTATTCAATGGTTGACGATTAGAAGGAAAATAATTGACCAACGAATGGTCAAAGATCGACTCTTGGAAGAGGCACAAGAATTTCGAACGGATTGTAACAAGTACGTTATTAATGAATTGGCAAGAGGAAACAATAAAATTGTACTTAGGTTACCACCGTATCATTGAGAATTAAATCCTATAGAGTTGGCGTGGTCCTCAGTAAAACAGTACGTTAAAATGAACAAT